CTAAGATAATCATACATTTCAAATGTCTATCATCATGAAGCTGTGCCTTACAGTTAGTGATTAGCTATGTCTCAAAGTGTCCCTAGGTGTTCCCTTTTTCCAGCAAAGACGAAAACCAACATAAAAAGAATGGTCATGAACGGGAAAGATGGGCAGTGAAAAGTCAAAAGGAAGTGCCGCTTTCACGGAGAGAGAAGATGGCACCAAAGGTTCTCCTGAAGCTGTTCGGTTCTCAGACACGGCCGCTGCCGGCATGGAAGGAATGATAACGGCAATGTGGTTGTATGAAATCATTTCTGCCGTCACGTTTTTTTTTCTTGTTGCACTGTTGTACCAGCCACCAAGGCAGCATAGCCCATTCCTTGTGATAACCGTTGGCATGATGCCGCTGTTGACCCGAGTGACCTCCATGTCAGCGGTACACTCATCTGATCAGAAAATCAATGGACGAATTAAGAATCTCGTTTCTTGGGTTTCTTGGTTTCATTGCACAGGCAACCATTTTTCGCTCTCGCTTTTAAGAATAAACGGCACCAGCTTATCGCGAGATTTCATTACGTCTACAACTCTGACAACTCTGACAAATAGTGCAGCTGGTAGTGCGCAAACGATCCCAGAAGTCAGTTATTCTCGTTCTCAGTCGAAGCCTCGTGGCCGCCGTGTAGTTTGTGATCAGGCGTTTTTGGAGGCTACATTCGTGTTCACCTTATATGCAATGAGAGAAGCCTTTGCGCACGTGTCTTCACCAAAACGCCGTTTTCATGCGCCCACTTCTCACCTGCTTTTATCATTTATTGCTACTTCAGTGCTCTGATACCAGTATTCACGTGAACTAGTACGAGGGCCATTCTGCACTAAATTGTAAGCACATAGCACAGTTGATGATGCGATGCGTCCCAGCATTAGAACTTTTCTGGACTTATTTCTTAGTCCAGAAAGGTGTAATTCTACGCCGTAGACATGAGAACAATGGCCTTGTCGCCATTGTGTAAATTTCGGCAATTTCGAGAGACTAAAATGACCTAGTCGGAACGACGCGTTGTTGGGATGAACCATTTGACTTTTTTAACACTAACACTTCTTAATCAGAGATAATTGATGATAGCAATAATCGCACCCATCTAGATAACACAAATACCTCTTCCTCAGGAATATGAAGTACGATCTGCTAATTTAGACTGCTCATGAACATGTAGATGAAGAATCTAAGTTTTAATTGGCTTTCTTGGATTTAAGGTCGAAAGGTCTCACAATAAATAAATATTTACAATCGCAGTAGGCGAAACTTATAAAGCGCTACACAAGTGCAATACCGTACCATTACCGCTTCGTGATACGAACTCAAGAATCCTACTGTAGCGCTTCTTCGAAGAGCTTTTATTGTGTTTAGCGACTGTTTTTTGTTTTTCTGTTGATATAGTAGGAGCTCTGACCTGAACTATTCTGCCGTCACTCAAAAGGTTAATCTCCTTGTGAATGCGACTCTTGCGGCAACCTATAGCAACCGATATTAGTGACCTATATCCGTTATCTTAGTCAGGTCGAGGCTCGTAGAGTATCGCGTATGGTCCCTTGGTATATAGTTTCATTGTTCTGAATTTGTTTAATTTTGAAACCTAATCTGCTTTTAATAATAGTCATCTCTGCGGTACTGGTCCACCAATGGAGTTCGGTGGCGAGGGGGGGGGGGGGGGTCCACATACCCTTGGGTTTCCTTTCTCTGCGAACTGGACCACTATTTCTAGGATGAAAATCTGCGCCTCCACTCCTCGAACACCAGTGCCACACTTTCTCTTAATCGTTAACGTCATGAGAACCTTCATGGCGTTGAGTTTGGCCCAAATGGGTTTCGTCACCCTTGTTGAAAATTCAATTTTTCAGGTGATTTTGATACATATCGACGCTACTATCTATTCTGATGTAATTCAGTATACTGAAAATGTTCGTAGTTCCTTCACCTTTGAAAGTCGTTGGGTCTCCTTCGTTTCTTTGATAGAAATAAGGTTC